GGGACACAGCGACGGGCGGTATTGCTTTCTCCCCAGATGCTTGTTCAGTTACAGCTCTGGAGGAGAATGCACTGTGCAGTCAGTGGGCGGGAAGAAGTGATACTTGGGGAGAGGCCTTCAGGAAGCAAAGCACTGTCTGCGGGGAGAAGCACAAAGAGAGGCAGGGAGGTGCCCTGTTGGGATCCAGAAACACTTTCACAACAATCAAATTAAAGTACATGCTGACAGTGTATCCCACAAGGGGTAAGAAACTGTTATACTGTTAATGCTAAAAGTGAAGAAATAAAGTGACTGCTTTTAAAATCATGTATTCAGTTACCACCAGTCACTTAGAGGGTAAAATCAAAACAACTCAAACTCTAGTTTATTTTCTGTGGGACTTCCAGAAAGGTGGAAAGACGGACCGTTTCAGTGCCTGTATAATGCCAGTCGTACCCTTTGAGAACGAAGAATTTCGATAGTTTTCTGCATGGACAGAGTGCTTGCTTCGTAGTTTTTCCTTTGATTTCGCAAAAAAAAACAAATTTAGTGAGGCTGGTCATGATGGTGTGCTTGTATAATCCCAGCTGCTCAGGGGCAAGAAGGTTGTAAGTTCAAAGCTAGCCTGGGCAACTCAGCAAGAAGCTTCCTCAAAAAAAAAAAACCACGTAAAACGCTTAAGATGTAGCCCAGTGGCAGAGCGCTTGCCTAGCATGCATGAATGCCTGGGTTCAATCCCCGGTACCACTGCATGCATGCAGACAACTTGACTGAGCACTGTAATACGTGTGTATATGTATGTGTAAGTAAATTGCCTCGCAATATCTGAAGGCCATTCAAATTCATTGTTTTACTTGTGTTCTTCAAATAGCATAGTTGTATGAAGTTCTTTCTTTTCTCCTACTTCAGCTCCTTTGCTGTTGATTTCTGTTAATGGTTATGTTGGCAATTGAGATACACTACAGGGTATAACTTGGATTTAGGTTGGGGCTTTACCCCATAAATTTAAGGATAGACTATGGTAATTTGTCTAAGAGGCTTTAGCCAAAATACCATTTTTTTCTAGTAAATTTGTATATATATATAAGAAAGATAAATTATGTGTACAACTCAGTCAAATCATCATTTTAAAATTCCCATTGACATTTTAAATGTATACCTTGTGACAAGTGTTCTTTACTTTTTTCCTTATTTTCATTATATGTGTTAATTATAAATAAGCCAAAATTTGAAAGTCGTCTATAATTCTGCTTTATAGAGGCTATTTCTGGATATTGTGGTATATATTCTTTTGAGTTTCCTTCCAAGTATACACTCATACATCCTTGTCTTTTTTTTTTTTTTTTTTTTTGAGACAGGATCTTGTTATATGATTTATGCAGGCTGGTCTTGAACTTACTTGTGTAGCCCAGGTGGGTGTCGCTCAGGGCAGTCCTCCTACTTCAGCCTCCTGAGTGCTGGAATCACAGCGTGTGCCACCACTCCAGGCTTCTTTGTGTGCTTTCTTATTTCTTACAAAAGTTAGATTCTGTCATACATATATTACCTACAGCTTTTTAAAAATAAATATATTGTGGGGGGACAGAGGGTGTGTGTGTGTGTGTGTGTGCGCGCGTGTGTGTAGCACCACTTGGAAGAAGAATATGGTATTTTGGTCATCATTTATGTAACCAATCCTCTGTTGGGGTAAATTACAGTCATTCTAGTTTTAAATTTTTTTTTGCAATAATAAATTAAGTTGTAAATAATGTTTTTTATGCAATATCCTTGCACAATTGTCTGTTTTCTCAGGGCAAATTTCTAGAAATAGAGTTGCTAGTCAGGAGATGGTCCATTGTTAAGGTTTCGGTAGCCATTCCGAAATAAGTACCACCACCCCTCTGTTCTCCACTCTTAACGGTTAGGTGGTGGTGGTCGTTTTCATCTTCACTTTTAAAAAGTCACCTTAAAAATAAATAAATAAATGGGTAGATAAATAAATAGATAAATAAATAAATAAAAATCCGTCTTAAAAAAAAGGCATCTTATTGGCTAGGTGCGTTGGCACATGTCTATAATCTCAACACTCGGGGGGTGGAGGTCAGAAAATCACAAGTTCGAGCTCAGCCTGGGCAACTTAGCAAGATGGTATCTCAAAATAAAACGGAAAGGGGGGTGTGGGTCAGTGAAGGCCCTGGGTTCACTGCCCAATACAAAAAAAAAGCCTTTTATTAATATGTTGGCATCTTTGATACTGTGATGACAGGATTTTTTTCTCTAGTACTGTTTTGCTTGCTTCTGTTCTTTGATCATGTTAAGACTGTTAGTTTTTCCTTTGACTTGAATGAATACTTTGTATATCTTTGCACATTGCAAATAACTCTCTCCGTTTTGTCTTTTAACTTTGCTTATGATATTTTGTGCCACACACAGTTATGCAATCAAGTTGCTGTTTCCCTTTAGCATTTTGGCTTTGAGAGATGCTTAGAAAATCGGGGGTGCATTTTTATTATTGTGCCTTCTTTTACCAGTCGTAAAGCACTGTAGAGTTTATGGTCTGTGATACACCTCAGATGACGCCATCTGTGCCTGGCGTGGTGGCGCACGCCTGTGACCCCAGCCCTGGGGGTCTGAGCCAAGGGGACAGAGAGAGTGCAGGGATAGCCTGGGCTGCACAGCAAGTTCGAGGCCAGCTTGAAACATCCTCAGACCTTGTCTCAAAAAAAAAGACAAGGTGCTGGGGCTGGGGCTGGCGCTGGGGCCGGGGCTGGCGCTGGGGCTCAGTGGTGGAGCTCTTGCCTTGCATGCGCAAGGGCACTGGGTTCAAGCCCCACACCACACGCACACGCACACGAAAGACCAAGTTACAGCATTTCACAACTTACAGTTGAGCTGATTCTCAGTTTCAGATGATCATTGTGGGTTAGTGCCCAGGAATATCAGTAATTTTAGGCAGTAGATTCAGCCTTTCCCTCCAGGAAACACGTTCCACTAGGATAGCTAACAATAGCAAAATGAGAAACAGGTTCTCCGTAAGTAGCCTTCTCACTTCCTCACCCGTCAGCCCTGTGTTCTCCTTTAGGAGCATCGTCTTCACTCGGCATTCCAGGCGCATTTCTGCCTGTCGTCACGTGGGTCGCAGTGCTCTTTCCTTCTGTCTGTCCTCCTCTTGTTCCTGTCTTGCTCGCTTGCCCCAGATTTGCTCCATTAAGCCACAGCTGAAAACGTCCGGCTTGTCTCTGGCTGCCTAGCCTAACGTTTAATTCCTTCACTTCTCCTTTTTCTCCTTTCATGCATCCTCTATTTCCTCCACCGTCTCACACCATAGAGTTTCTTTTTATTTTTGCTGTGATTTTGATTGACTGGAAAAATAAAGTACACGTGTCGTTTTATTTAGACTGTCACTACCCTCAGGACCAGATTTTGTTTCTGTGTTTGATTAATAAAATCGGCTCAGAGCTACCAGGTGCCTACTAAATAATCGCCGTGTTAGACAGTGGGGTGCAGCCACTAGAAAAGAGCTTTCTGTTCTGTCACAGAATCGTCCTGCAGCAGGGTCAGCAAATGCCTGCACAGATCTCTCAAACCATTTCCTCAGCCCGATGCAGTTTGCTGTGATTTCAGTAGCAGTACATTCTGGGAAAACATTCTGCAGTGGTTGAGCACAGAGCTTTTAAATCACCGCAGAAGCCTGGCGGTCTCGCTGGTGGCAGAACGTGGGTTTCGCATGTACAAGGCTCTAGGTTCAATCCCCAGCTGGAACCTGCCCCCAAACTAAAATGCCTGTTGAGCCAGTTCAGTTATTTCTATTGTCCAGACCTTCTATATCATTTTCCTCCCAGGGCTGGGGATCAAACCCAGGATCTCTCAGGCCTCATAGCAAATGCTCTGCCACGGAGCTACATCCCCAGCCTCCAAAGCTTTGTGTCTGCTGGTTTTTGACTGTTTATTCTGTCAGCTACACGGAGATAGATATGCTAAAGTCTCCACTGTAATGGTGTTTCTGACAGACACTTTCAGCATACATTTTGAGGTTATGTTATTAGGCACGTGCAGATTTTACATTATTACACACCTTCCCGGCACATTGGAGCCTTCTGTCGTGCTGGAGTAACCTTCTTTCTCACTGGCAGCGCTTGCTTTGCAGGCTTGCTCTGTGCGGATCACTTTACATTTGTGTGCGTCTTTTCGCTCCTCCCGCTCCTCCCGCCTTTCTACTATTAGACGTGTCTCTTTAATGGAATACATTGGGGCTTCGCTCTTTCACCGTTTAGATCACTGATGTGATACGATCGTGTTACTTAGACTCCAAATCCGCCTTACGTTTTGTGCTGTTTGTCTTCTTGTTCTGTGTTTCACTTTCTCTGTTTCCTTCTGTCAGGCTGGTTCTTGGCACAGGCAGCGGCCGTGGGTGTAATGCCCGCAGCAGTGCTGTGCATCTGTGCATAAAGTATCTGTTTCAAGGCTCTCACTGCAGCCCTCTGATACAGCTCTTTTTGTTTCTACTTTGTCAAGAAAGGAAGACGCAGAAACTCCCTCTCTCACTACTAGGTGTGGAACTCAGGCCCTGGCTCATGCTAGCTACGCCCCTAACCCTGGTACTGTCTTCGTTTGTTCAGTGCCTGGTGTTTGAATCCAGGGCCTTCTTGCTCATTTATACCCCAGCCCTTTTTTTTTCTTTTTTCTTTTTTTTTTTTTTTTTTGAGACAGGGTCTTGCTATGCAGTCCAGGTTGGCCTTGAGCTCACTTTGTAGCCCGAACTTGTAGTGATACTCCTGCCTCAGCCTCCCAAGTGCTGAGATTACAGGTGTGCAGCACCACATCCGGTGCCCATTTTTTATTTTGAAACAAAATCTCACTAAGTTGCCCAGGCTGGGCTTGAACTTATACTCCTCCTGCCTCAGCCTCCCAAAATGCTTGAAAACAAACAAAACAAACATGTTTTGCTACTAGAAGAAGCTCTTTTGTGATATTTTTTAAAAACATGTGGTTTGACTCCAGTATCCTATTTTGACTTGTACTTTTCTCTCTCCTGTTTGCAGTGTCATCAGCAAAGTGGTGTCAGCCCCAGAGGCTAAGCCAGCACCTTCTCTGAACAGACCGAAGACACCACCCCCCACCCCGGCTGCTGTCCCCGTGCACATGAACCCCACCCCGTTGCCGCTGCCACTCCTACCCCAGGCCACGGCGTGCCCTGTTCTGATGCCATCTCTGGCCCCTGCCCTGGTGGCAGCGGGCAGCTCCAAGGCGCCTGTGCGGAGCGTGGTGACCGAGACCGTCAGCACTTACGTGGTGTGTACTCTCCCTTTGCGCGGTCCCCAGGGTGTTAGAGAAGTATTGTCAGTTACAGAGAAGCTCCTGTGTGTGTCCTCATTGAATCTCAGGTGCAAGTCCTTATGATTAGAGAAGTATTTTCATTACTTGGAGACTTTGGGCTTCAAAACATTGTATTACAATGTTCACATATCCAGTCTATATAAATACGTCAAAGCATTGTTTTCATTACTTCGTATTGCTTGGAATATGACCGTGCACCTGTGTACAGCAGTGTCTGTGACTAAATATCCAAATAGTGATACATAAATCCTCTATTGAATTTCTGAACCAGTGCTGGGCCTGGTGGTGCATACCTGTAATCTAAGCACTCAGGAGGCTGAAGCAGGAGGATTGCCATAGGTTCAAGGTGCATAGCAAGGCCCTGCCTCAAAAAATATATATGTAAATTTCTTAAGTAATTTTTCACTTAGAAGTATAATTCACATAATATGGATTTGTGAGTCAGCGGGTGTCTCTGAATTGCAGCACTGTCTATAATATTTTCCTGGCTAAGATCCAGGCTGTACCTGGACTGACAAGCTAAATGGAAATGAGCTTTTAGGCCACAGAGTTTCCCGAGCACCCTGCGTGGCTTTCGATTATAAAACGCACCATGCCAAAGGAGTCCACCTTGTCCAGGGATTGGTTTTAGGTATTTTAGGTATTTTTCCCATACCTAATAATACCAGATCTACTCAAGTCCTAAATTCAATCTAGTCGTGAAGTGCTTCTATGTCCTGTGGGCACTGTAGAGTGACACATGAACAGACAACAAAGTTTTTGTTTTGTTTTATTGTTTTTTGAGACAGGGTCTTGCTATGTATTCCAGGCTGACCTCGAACTCACAGCAGTTCTCCTGCCTCAGCCTCCCAAGTGCTGGAGTTAAAGGGGTGTGCCGCTACACCTGGCTAACAAAGTATTTTGAGTGAGTGGGGGCATTGACGTTGCCAGGACTCCCAGCTCTGCCCACAGTGCCTCCCTTGGCGGGTGATGACGCTGGCTGTCGCGAGTGGGCAGTGACTGCACCCGTGGTATTTGTTACTCTGAACCGTGTACATACTGCTTAAAGGAATTTAGAAGGAAATTTGAGTAAATTATTATGAGACTATAATAATACCAGATATAAAGGAAAATCTTGTACGTACTCAGAGGATATAGACAGGAAAAACTACAAGAAAAATACTCAATTGACAAAGACAAAATAAAAGATGTAATGTGTTAAAAAGCTGTGATCCTCAGCTCGGTCATTCAGGGACCAATTGCTATGTGTGTCTGACTGAGGCAGCAGCGCCCTAATTAAGGTGAGTGGATCTGGGAGGCTTTTCTCCTTGATCCCCTGCGCCTCCCTCTGCCCATCGGTACCGACAGGATCTGTGACAGATGCAGTGACCTCTGTGCCATCCCCTGGCTCGGCAATCTCCGGTGATTTCTGCACTCACTCCCCTGGGGTGGTGCACCTGGAAGAGCAGTGGAGACGAAACCCTTCTCATTCCTAAAGAGACGCTTTGTGGATAAAGGACAGAGAAGGCGGACTCGGTCGGTGCCTGATTCCCCTTCGTAAGCCACCCAGAGCGTCTTGCGCGACGCCTGAGGGGAGGAGTGTGTTGAGAGGACGCGGTAGGCCGCGAAGGGCGCGGCGCTGGTACGGACGCTGTGGCACAGGTTTCCGTGCGCAGTCACATGCTGCGACCTTCCAGAAAGGCCGGCCGGCAGCAGCCCCGGCCGCGCCTGAGGTCAGACAGAGTGCTGGGCCTGGGCCGGGGATGCAGCTCAGCGGCACAGCACCTGGCTGGCAAGTGTGAGGTCCTGAGTTGGATTGCCGGCACCAAAACAAAACTAGTGCTGGGCCGGCCGTGGCCGCGGGGCAGCGGGCGCCTGTGGCTGCCCGTTCTCGGCGTGTCACAGCCCACCCTGAAACCAGAGGGCGCAGAGCTGCTCCTGCGTCCGGTTCCTCTAGGAAATCTGCGTGTCAGTGGGCTTCGTCTTTGTGGGGTTTCTAACAGCCGTGGGCCTAAAACGTAGGCCTGTCAGTGGGCGAGCAGCTCACCCGGGCACTCCTCACAGAGCAGCCCTTCTGCCTCTCACAGACCTAGTCCGGGTTGTATTTAAAAGTGTGCAGGAGGAGCCTGCACCTTGCAAAGTAACTGAAATGGAACAGGGTGCTAAGTCACCGTGGACACTGAAGTTTAGTGTCCTCGGTACTTTCTCCGCGCTCCCGTCACACAGTGGTTTCTTCCAGATTGATTTTGATAATGTGAAACGTGAGGAAGTGGTAAATTAGAGATACGTCCCGTTCAGAACCTCTGAGTTAATAAAGTACGCTCAGGGGTGCACTACTTACACCAAAGCACTGCTTCAGTCGGTAGCCCTCCGACCCCCTGAGCCCCAGATTCCATTTTCCCTTTCGTTGGTTGTACTTTTCTCAAAATGTCATGAAGGGAATGGAAAGTTACTGAGTAACAGCTCTCGGGTACCCTTGATCTTATCAGCTGGCTCGGGAGAAGGGCCTGGCTAATGAGTCACAAGGGGCTCAGGCACACTGGTGCGGTCTTAGTCCCGTGCCCGTGAGTGGGGCTGGGGGAGCCATGGTTGGCTGAGCTCTGCAGCTTTCAAAAATATCGACGATGACCACCGGCAGAACTCAGACCGTCAGGAAGTTGCAGGTCATTTTGTTTAGAGAGGATTACTGAATTTTTTTATGACTTACACACAAGAGTTCAGAGTATTCACTGGAAGTGTCTTACCGTGGATTCTTAGTAGCTGCTTCCTTTCCCACATGAGTCTAAAGCGGGGCTGACCACGATTGGCCAAAGCGCCCCTCCCCGGCCTTGCTAAGCTGTGTGCGTTAGGAGCGGGCTCACGGGTGCAGCAGTGATTCTCACCCAGCTGCTCTTCACTTCTTTTCCCCGCCCGCCTCCGGCCTCACCCCGTCCCGCGTGAACACGCCAGATCCGAGACGAGTCGGGCAATCAGATCTGGATCTGCCCTGGGTGCAACAAGCCCGACGACGGGAGCCCGATGATCGGCTGTGACGACTGTGACGACTGGTACCACTGGTGAGCGTCCGGGCGAGCGCGCGGGGGCGGGGGCTGCAAACCCGTGCCTTCCGGACACCGAGGCTGGCCGCAGAGCAAGTCTTCGTACCGCTGCTGTTCAGCCTGAATTGTGACTATTTGGGTTACTTTATCTGGGCTTCTATAAAATAAGAGGAGATGTAGGGCCTGTCTTTCCTTCCTCTCCACCGCTGTTCTGTAAGAGCTGCAGTGCTTGGTGGTGTCTTGTAATCTGGCACAAACTGCGAGATCAGCTTGCGGGTGGGGGTTGGGTTTGTTTGATTGGTGTTTTTGTTTTTGAGATGAGGTCTTGCTATGTAGCCCAGGCTGGCCTGGAACTCAGATCCTCCTGCCTCAGCCTCCCCACTACCAGGAGTACTTGTGTACACCACCACGCCAGCTTCATGTGTTTTAAACCTCCCTTGCAGTTCCTCAAAACTGAACAAACTCAACTAAAATATATGCAACCTTCTTACTCTGTTTTTAGGATAACAGTTGTAAGAAGATACCTGGGGCCAGGGATATGGCTCAGTTGTGCAGCACCAGCCTGGCAACTGCAAGGTCATGAGTTTGATTCCTGGTACCAAAAAAAGATACCTATTCAGTTACGGTATATGATATCTACAGGAGGAAAAGCCATTGCTCGGGATTACGGTATTTGTAGCAAACAGGAAGGAGAAATTAATCTCTCCAATAATTCACATGCACAACAATAAACAGATACATAAATTGGAGCCATTTGACTTTGATTAATGGTAAATAGATCATAGACTTGACTTTTCTTTTTTCTTTATGTAGTTCAGGCTGGATTTGAACTCTCTGTGTAGCCCAGGCTGGCATGAAACTCACAGTGATCCTCCTGCCTCAGCCTCCCAAGTACTGGGATTACAGGCATGTGCCACCATGCCTGGCAAGATCATAGACTTTTAAAATGATTTGGAAATGTAGAAAAGAAAGGAATAGGCATAAACACACCAGACTTTAAGACTATCTTGAAAACCCGGGAAGAAAAAGAACAGGCCGGGCGCAATGGCTCACACCTGCACTTCCAAGACGGGGAGGGTAAGGCAGGAGGCTCTCAGGCTCAAGCCTAGCCGGGGCAGTTTTGAGATTTAGCAAAACCCTGCCCCAAAATTAAAAGATAAAAAGGATCAGGGGTGTAGCTGACTGGGAAGGCCCTGGTTTCAAACCCCACGATGGCAGGGCTCGGGAGGACAAACAGAACATGTCTCTGTCTTTGGCGTGCAGGCCCTGCGTGGGGATAATGGCAGCACCGCCGGAAGAGATGCAGTGGTTCTGCCCGAAGTGTGCCAACAAGAAGAAGGACAAAAAGCACAAGAAGAGGAAGCACCGAGCACACTGACATCCCTGGAGGGCGGGGAGCGGCGGCAGCTCGGCCCCTCCCGCGCCCTCCCTCCCTGGCCGGAGCCGGTGGGCTCTCTGCCTCCCGGGGCCGCGGATGAGGATCCCGGGAAGACGGAGGCCGGCACGGCCGCTCGGAGCTCCGGATCCCGCCGCCCCTTCCCTTCGGAACACACTCGCCTGCGGGTCCAAGGCCGGGCGCGGGGCTGCAGCAGGGCGCCGCCTCGGGGCTGCGCACCTCTGTCTGTCCGTTACCAGTGACAAGTATTAATAAAGGCTGTACCTCGCCCCTTCGGTTTCCTCTGTTACCCGCAAGGCCTTTTCAGTAGGGTTAGGTGAGAAGATAATGTCAGCCGCCTCGATTGTAAGTTAAGGGTGATATCAGTAACCCGTACACGGTCATCAGCTCCTTCCCTCCGCAGTGAGATAATCATAACATGAAAGAAAACGCTAGTTGAGGAACATCAGTACATATTTTTGTGATGAGAATATATGAAGCTTCCCCTCCGCCCTCGCCCTGTTTTTAGTACTAACATGTAAAATGTTCAGGCTTTTGTGAAATACCTTCTATTTTTTAAGAAAAAGGTTTCTATCATGTCCTGTTTGCTCCTGTGCAGATTATTTTTGTTTATCCTGATGTATTTTATACCTTTGTTGCAGTCTAATTTGCCCTCCTTTCAACCGCTGGAGTCTTTCCTCCTGCGTGTACATTTCATCAACTTGTATAGAAACTTCATACTAAAAATTCCCCCTCGTGTAAATAATAAATATTTATGAAGTAGTTATTTTTAAAATTTTTATCGTGTTTAATTCTGGCTTTCTCCGAAATCCCCTGCGATTTCAGCCACGTCTGTAATTAATACTGTAGCGAGCAAAGGCGACAGCGGGGAGAGGCCGGGTGCAGTCACTCCCCGGGCCGCGGCCTGCGCCGGACCGTGCGGGGAGAGGGCCCGGCCCTGGGCAGGAACGCCGGCGCTGTAAATCTAGAGCTCATGACTGGGGATTGTGTCCTTTGTCATCTGTTTTGCTTCTGTAAACTTACTTGACTTTTATTAAAAGGACATGTAGTTTCCATGAAAGTAAAAAGAAACAAACAAAAAAAGCCCATAACTGTAGCATTTTGTGTTGTACTGTTTTATTTCTACAAATTTGTTCATTGATATTGTACTTTAAGGCTGAAATGAAGTATGTTAATGTTTTTTTAAGAAAACATCAAATTTCAGGGTACCATAAAACTTTATTATATTGCTATACTGCCCACTATTTATTATATATTATAGGTTATCTGAAAATAAACCAAATATTTTATTTTTAATGTAAAAACATCAAATTTAACTTTATTAACATATTTTAGTGACTTGGGAATAAACACAGACTTTTACTTGATTTTGAAATAATCCCAGTTTGGGCCCATGTAATGGAGATCTCTAATGCTAGAATATGGGCTTTGAACCTAATACAGATATATTAATAGAAAATGTGATTTTTACTTTTTTTTACTGCCAAGTCAATTGGTATTAGTGTGTGACTCAGTCATATTTTAGAACTTACTATGTGGTTACAGAAATGTGGTTTTCTGCCATGAATGTTAAATTCAAATGGGTAAAAATGGAGTAGACCATTTAAAAAGTGCAGGATATCATTGCCCTCCTTGTTCTAGTGGCCAGAATTTTTCTATCCCTGCAAAAACAAAAAGTATGTTGAGATATATGTTCCTTGTTTTGTTATTTTGAGATCATTCAGATACTTTATACAGTATTTTCACAATCACAGATACACCCATTAGTGCTTTTTGGGAGAGGGACAGGGGTGGGGGAAGTACGAAATAAAGATTATTGGCTATTTCATAGTTTGATTTTCCATTTTCTTTCTTTAGGATTTAGTTCCTCAAGGCATGGTCAGTGGGTCCCAAGTCCCACGTGTAAGTGAGCAGGTCATGCTACTGAAATAATGGAGGTGCCTACATACAACTTTCCCCCAGTCCTGCTGAGAGACTTCAGCCCGTACTGCATCTGAGGAATTTCAATCAGCTTGTTGTCCCTCGCTATTTCATGGTTGCTTTCCTAAATCCAGTTCATGATTTTATAAATGGTCTTTGCAATAATAAAACCAAAGAATCATTTTCAGGGGCCTGGATGGCTCAAGGGATTAGTAATGGGATACAGAGCCTTTCACCTCTAGGGCAGCGAGTCGAATCTAGTCCAGGTCACCAGAGACCCACGGTTGTCGCCGTCCTACGACTGCTCGGAGGCCTGTGTGAAATGAACCGGTGGCCGCCGCCTCTACTGGAGGGCCGTCTGCGACACCAACCAAACAAGTTCAAAAAGCTACAAAAAGAAATGTGGATTCGAATGTTACAAAGCGCAGCTAGAAAGTTAGTCATAGTGCTTCTCCAGAAAGTAGTACTACAGAAAAGGAGCACTGCATGAATAGGCGGACATTACAGACCACGGAGATTAACGTACTGGCCTTAAGTGAAGTCAGGCAAAACGGAAAGCAAAAGCCTGTACCGGGGACAGCTGTAGGGAGCCCGAACTCTAAGGACGGATGAGCTTGACTTCTGAGGGGGGGAGAAAGCAGCAGCAGGAGGAATGTGAGGAACTTCTGTAACTGAGAATTAGATGTGAAGGAATGAGAAGTATTTCCCTTTGGAGAGTTTTCCAGTTGTAAGTAAAGTCCTGTCCTGTTTTCATTTACCCGGCGCTATCACTTGAATAGCATCAGCGCTTTATAGAGAAAAGTAGTCAGAAAAAGAACTTCTCCTGGCCAGCGATTTTACTGGCGGAGATGGTATTTACGAAACAGACACTCCCAGGAAACTGAGCTCCTCTGGTGCGATAATCGGCCTTCAGGGCCAGAGGTAGCCGGCGAAGTGTAATTTCTATGGCCACCAAGGTGTCTCTCCTCGGAAGGTGTCTGCTGTTAGGTACAGCAAGTATTCTTATCCTCTGGCTGATTTGTGGCTCCAAACGTCCTGAGGAAAATCAGAGGGTATCAGGAGTATTCTGACTTCGTTGGGCTTTTTTCAGAGATAAAATACAGTGCATTACTCCTCTGTGTCACCCAAACCGCCTTTGTTCTCCTTTCAATGGGATGGTTAAACAAAGACCTCCTAAGCAAATTGAAGTATAAAGTGAACGCAGGTACGAGGGCCTTCCCACTGAGAATGCTAATGAATGGGGGTGCTGGACACGCTGGCTGAGTTTTCAATACACAGAGTTTTATGGCCAATCTCGCCAGATCATAGCAGTTCTCTTTAGAAGTGTAAGTCTGAAAAGTAGAAGAGTTACCTTGACTGAATACTGAAACATAACGCCCTGAAGGGTGTCTCCACAGTGCTATCAGTTATTTCTGTTAGAAAACTTCCTTTTGAGACTCTTGCATTAGTTGTAGCCCCAGAAGTATAAAGTAACTATTAAGCCATGTGTGCAGGCCAGCAGAGGACACTGAAATTACATAGTTAGATGGACAGCCGGACAGTTTATGTCACTGCATTTCAGCGAAGCATTCTGGCCGGGGGTGGAGCTCCCTTCTGCCCTGTGTGTTCAGCATGGGCCAGGCTCTGCGTTCCAGCTCCAGCACCAGCCCCGGTAATAAATGAACGTTTAGTACACACTTGAGTTACTAAAACAACTCCTGGTGACTTGTTTATCCTGGGCAACAAAGTTTTTGGTTTGTATGAGGACCGGGTCAAACATTTTCATTCCTCGAATCCACATTTGCTGGGCACGTTTGGTGGAAATGCAGCCGAGTTTATTTTCCAGCCTGCGGGAGCTGAGGCACGCTGGTCTCTTCACTCGGCCCTGGCCTTGCAGTTGCACCTGCAGAACTCCGTGTACCAAAACGTATTAGATTCTAAGCATGGCCAGTACTTGCTTGTTCCTTGTCTTTTCTGGTGGTGCTGGGGATCAAACTCAAGGCCTTTGTTCTGAGTGACATTCCCCCATCCTTTGTTTTTTAACCTTTTTAAATGTTGAGACAGAGTCTTGCTAAATTGCCCAGGCTGGGCTTGAGTTTGCAATCCTCCTGCCTCAGCCTCCCAGGCTACTGGGGTTATAAGCATGTGCAACCATGCCTACCCATCTTTTTATACACAATCTTTGTCCAGTTTAGACTGCAACTGGTTTTTAATGTTTATATAGCTTTCTGCTTGGAAATGCTTGTATGTGCAACCACGTAAATGTTTCCGTTAACTATGGTAGGAACGAGGGGAGAAAAGTTTACATGAAAAGTACATAGATATAAGTAAGTATTCTACAAATGTACATGTGTTGGGCTTTCAGGACAGTTGTTTCACTTTGAGAGAGAAGTCAGTCAGGGTCTCACTGGAGCTGGCCTCAGCCTCCCCAGTGGCTGAGATTACAAGTACATGCCCACTGCATCCAACTCAGAAGCATTATTCTAGGTACTGGGCCCTAAGCAACAGTTTCCTACTGTAATCCTTGGAAACTAGTCACTATTTTGTTAACCTTTTGAAGTCTTGTTTTTGTTTGGTCTTGTTTTTGAAAAAAGAAACACTTAGAATGGCCGCTGAAAAATGGTACTGTTACTGTCCTTGGTGAATTAACTTGCCAAATGAGATGGTTTAAAGAAAGTATTTCTTCCAGGAAAGTCATTGAGAGCTTTGGACATACTTAGCAGAGGAGATTTAAATTGTCCAACAATATCAGGTTATGTTCTGATTATTTCTTATACTATTTGAGAGCATGATTAAACTTTTTGTTTTTACTGTTTATGACAGGATACTGCTGTGTAATTCAGGCTGGCTTGAACTCTCTATTGTAGCCCAGGATGGCCTTGAAAGCACAACAATCGTCCTGCCTCAGCCTCCCAAGTGCTGGAATTACAGGCATGTGCTACCCACCTTGATTTTGCTAGCTTTTATTTTGTTTTGTTTTGTTGATTTCTTGAGACAAGGTCTCGCTATGCAGTTCAGGCTGACCTTGAGCTCACTTTGTAACCCAGACTGGCCTTAAACTCGCAGCGATCCTCCTGCCTCAGCCTCCTGAGTGCTGGGATTACAGGCGTGTGCCACCACGCCCAGCTTGCTTGCTTGTAGAAAGATTCTTTGTAACTGGATGTAGAGTTATGCAGCTCCTCGTCTTTTCTTCATCCAATTGGTTTGGACATGGCTGTTTCCAACACTGATAAAAACGAATGTTTGGAACCGGGGAGGCTGCTCAGTGGCGCCGCGCTTGCGCAGTGCGTGTCGGTGAGGCTGGGAGCGTCCCGCGCTCAGCCAGTCCACACAGTCTCAGAAACACATTCACGAGTCCCGTCTGGACAGGTGAGGGCACGTGTCCCTCCTGTGCCGGAGAGCTCCAACCGTAACATGCGTAGGTCAGAAAGGGGTGCACAGCTTGAAACTGGGTACAATCCAGAAGTCACGGAGATGGTTGTTTCTGACTATGGTTTGACCAGTGTTGGCTCTAGGCGGAGACTAAGGAGACAGAAAAATGCTGTAAAAAAAAAAAATTGACATGAAAATAGGTAGATTTCTTTTAAAAGTTTAAAAAAAAAAAAGACAACAGGCCAGGCATGGTGGTACATGACTATATCCCAGCACTAGGGAGGCTGAAGCAGGAGGGTTGTAAGTACCAACCTGAGCCAGAGAGAGAGAGAGGAGGTAGAGAAGGCAGGCGAAGGAAGGCATTGAGAACAAGGGGGAGAAGGGGAAGGGGAGGAAAGGAGGAAACAGAGAAGGGGAAAAGCGGAAATAAGATGAAGAAGGAGGCGGAGAACAAAAGGAGAGGGGAGGGAAGGAGAGGGAAAAGGAACGGAAGGAAATCTCAGGGCTCAGCAGCAGACCACGTGTTCAGTGTGCTCCTGTGGAGGCACTGGATTCAGCCCCCGACACCACAACTGAAAGCAAAATAAAACACTCCATTAAAAAAAGCTTTACAAGATTATAATCATCCAGGAATAATTACTGGATCTGATAAAACAGAAAAATAGATCTCTCTAGAGAAAGAAATCTATTGCAGTAAACGTATTGCTGGTTGAAAGACAAACTAAACTTTTGTAGGTGCAGTCATGCTAACTGCCTGGGGAGACAGCTAATTTTTTTTGTTTAAGGAATAAGGCAAACTCTCACCAAGGAAGTAAGATGAGCAGA